CTATTGTAAATCTCTGCGTTTTTCTCTCAGCAGTGTGCCTAACACAACCCCATTGCTCTCCTGCTCTCTTCTTGACAGGGCACTCGTGGGCTCCTCCCAAAGAAAAACAATCCAGCCCCAACAAAAGCACAAGCAATAAGTTTATGTGATGAGCATTGAGTCTCTCTTCTCCGTGGCTTCATTAGAAAACTGCGGCCTCCCTCACCATTTCTCCTAGGCTAATCACGTCTTCCCTGGCCTGCTATTTTTGGCCTATTGTGCTTTCCACACACCCTGAGGATGCAAAGCCTCTGTAGGCTCAGGGGAACAGAAGAAAAGAAAATAGGAGGAGTAAGGCAATGGTGCAGTTCATTTTAACCTCTGGTACTATAACAGGAGAGCAGCAGAATGATGTAAGGTGCCAACTAATTACTAATTTGATTTAGCAGTCCCTTTTATCCAAAGCAACTTTCAGCGAGCCGAACATATTAAAGTGACTCCTTGAACAACCTAAGGTTAAGTTAAGTGCCTTGATCAAGGGCATAACAAAGAATCACGGATCAGCTCTTATGGGCTCTGAATATGTAACATTTCAGTTAAGATGCCAGATCTTTAACCATGCCACAGTGAAGTACAACAGCTGGTACTTAGAAATACTGCTAATAAAAAAAAACAAAACAGTAAAATTAGTAATTTTTTAAACATTATTACAATTTAAAATAACTGTTTTCTCTTTCGATAGATTTTAAAATGTAATTTATTCCTATGATGGTAAAGCTGAATTTTCAGCATCATTACTCCAGTATTCAGTGTCACATGATCCTTCAGAAATCACTCTAATTTGCTGCAAGAAACATTTCTTATTATCAATGTTGAAAACGGTTGTACTGCTATATATTTTTGTGAAAACCATTATAATTTTGATCAATTTAATGCATCCTTGCTAAATACAAATATTACTTTCTAATAAAAATATTACTTTTTTTAATCTTTAGTACAGTGCCTCATAAAAGTGGTTTTGATCACTAGAGCCCGACCGATATATTGTTTTGCCGATTTTATCGGCCGATATGACCCTGTCGCAGATATATCGGTATCGGCGAATATGACGCCGATATGCCACCGATATGAAAATTTTTTTTACAGAACATAAAACGCAGATAAAATGCTTGTAAATGGTGTAATTATGTAGTTTGTTCAGCAGAGCGCGCTCCATTGTTTGCAACTGGCGACCTGGATGAAACGCTTTAAAGCTTAAGTGTATGGAATACCATTGAAACTTTGAAGGCCATATCTCTGTAACGGCGTGGCGGATCCGCACCAAATTCGGGGGAATCCCTTCATCAAGTGTACGTCTCGAGGCCCCCTTTCGAATGAGACCACCCCCACATCGATAGCCCCCGGGGTCCGGGAGTTACGGGCAGTTAAATTTGCGGTTGGGCTCCTCGAGCTGAAGGGATCTTGGTGGAGATCCGCCGCCGCGTTCGCGATATAGTGACACCAGCCAACACTTTCACTTCAGTAAGGAGGTCTCTTGTTCAGGCAGCAGCATTCAAGCGTTGTCTTATTTGACCGTAAGTGCCCTGCGAAGTGGACTTCACATGATATTCCGCCATGATTCCAGTTCCAAGGGAACGTACACGTTACATTCAAAGGGCATTAAAATGTGCGAGTAGGGCTGGGTATCGATTCAGATGTCCCGATTCGATTCGATGTCATTTAAAAAAACGATTAATCGAAAAATCTATTTTTTTGCCCAGCCCTATGTGCGAGACGTGAATTTAAATTGTATTTATTTACAGAGGTATATTATGTCACACTTCACACTTCTCTAGTAAGTTTCGTCTGTGTGTGAAGACAGTAGCGCAAATCCGTGAATGAATGTTCAGAAGTGAAATAAACTTCAACGGAAAAAAGCTGAATGGAATTGAATTGAAAAAGTTGAATAAACTTCTTTACTGTTCAGTGCACTGATGTCAGACTCATTTTGGATAATAAAGTTTGTTAAATTGTTAAAGGCCCTGCTTCCATTACATATCTTTGTCACGTCATTATAAGTGTTTGATCACCACATTTGAGTGATCATTGCAAAAATGTGTTTATGGATATATATTCTGTTTATGTATATACTGTATTATATATATATAAGTTTGGACACATGAATGGAAAAGTGTCCAAATTTTTGACTGTTACTGTACCATAATATACACAAAGAATATCGGCCGATATATCAATATCGGCATTTTTTTATCGGTATCGGCCCCCAAAAAAACCCTATCGGTCGGGCTCTATTGATCACACTACGAAATGCTGTGAGTTTTTGTACTTATTTTTGATTACACACAAATTAAGTAATAAAAGGATCTAAAGTATAAAGAATTTCTTCTGAAATAGATATTTTATAAAAAGTAGAAATGTTATATATTGATATATGACTCAATCAGCACAGCCCTATTTAACTTGATCTTTCAGGAAACATTCGCTGTACACGTGTGCAAATCAGCTACTAAGACAGGCAGTTGAAAATAAGCAATGCTTGCTCAGCTAGGCCACAAACACCAAGAACACACCCACAACAACTGCAGATCTGCTGAACTTCTAATCAGGCTGAACCCTGAACCTTAGAGGACAATAACAATAATTTATAACATTATAAATAATCAATTTAAAACATTATAAATTTGTTTCCCTATACTAAAACCACTCAATATCATGCAGATCAGGTCTGACAGAGAAAAGGCAACAGAGCAGCAAGTCAGCGCGAGAATTATTCAGATCTGAGTGGCATCAAACTATGGAATAATGAGTCACTATAAACCCTCGATGACCAGGCTTCCGAGGTGTGTGCATATGTGGGAGGGTTTCATGTCAATGAATACAGTGACCTTTCTCTCAAAGATTCTCCTGTTTGACTATGATATTCATCTGCTAATGTTGTTGTGCATCACATTTTTTTTTATTTAGCTTAAATTTCTCAGATCTGTCCAATGAGCTGATACACAAGTGTCTCTTTGTACCTTCAAGCTATAAACAGAATCTTCAATAGAATTAACCTTAACAAGATCTGGGATTAACAGTTTCTCAAAGACAGGTTGAATATGATGTTATAAAACAGTTTTTTGGGGGAGAGGGAATTTTTCAGATTCCTCTCCAGGACTGTGGTCTATTACACTGCCTTGAGTCAAAAATCTATATAACTTTATATATGGGAAACTGGTAATGTATATCGAAATATCGGAAATGTGTTTAAAAATCATATCACCGTTATTGAAAAAAATTATATCGCGATACATATTGATATTGAATTATTGTCCAGCCCTACTTTATACAGATGTAAAGAAATGTATATGTAGCTATATGTACAGTAAATGTCTGTATAATGTGAATGTGTAGCGCTTAATACAATGGTAATGAAAATAGAGACACTTACAGACTTGCAAAATTGTTAAAGAATTAAATTCAACAAAATCAAACAAAAACAGATTTTGCAAAACAAATCACTTACAAAGGCCAAAAAGTTCACTCCACCCCTAACTTGCATGAAAATGGAATGAAATATCTCAAATATCTGACATCTCATTGCCATTACAAATGCTTTTCCATTTGTTTGCGTTGGGAATGCAAATGAGGGTGAATGCAAATTTGTCGACCTCTACATTTGGCTAAATCTCAAGGAGAAAACTTGCATGAGACAGAAGCAAGGATCTGAGTTTGGCAAACATCATCATCAACAAGCATACCGAATTGTACATTCTGCTTTATACAACTCTAATCAATACACGGATGGATTTAACTAGAGAATGGTCGACCATAGAGCAATGAGCTGTCACAATGTGCTCCAGAGCCCATTGATTTCCAACTAGTGTGGTTTGGTGCTATCCTAAACTGAAATTCCCAACATTAAGACTTCTCCAGAGCTCCCTCTAGATACTTTCTTGGCAGAAAATATGAAGTTCCTTTAAAGTTAATGTCATCTAGTGCGGCCAACTGGATGTGTTCCCACAACCTGCAGTGCCCAGTATCAGTTCATTGATCAACCCCTTGTGGTCTATCTACAACCTTCAGTTCACCAACCCAGTTATTAAACCATCAAGCACCCTGCAAAATATTACCACAGTTATTCGATAGTTTAGGCCAAAATACCATAGTTACTACAATTGCTTGCTTTGATCAAATTTGCACACTCCACCAGTGCCATCAAAAAAAAAGAAGTCAATCTGTTTGAAGGAACTTGCATATTAATTCATTATACAACAGTTCTGGTCCTTATACAAGTTTGTTAATGTTTAGGATTTTCAAGGCGTTTCATGGTTATTTGCATCACTCCATGAATGTTCATCAGAATCACTACTTCTAGAATCACTACTAGAGAAGAATCACTAGGAGAAATTAAAGTACCCAGATGACCTACAACTTGCAGACAAGATTACGATGTGTGCATCCAATGGACACTTCTACCATCCCGTGAGACCAGGGGAAATGTGAATTGCGAGAAAGCAACACAACAATGACAACATGACGAATGTAGTGCATCCGGATTTCATCCATACTACTCACATTGATACTATATAAAATGCACTTCTTTCACAGTTGCAAAGCATCTTTATTTCAGACGCAGCAAGTGTTTAATTGTACTCAATGCCCACTTGAAGTGGGTTTCTCGCACTAGAGTGTGTCAAACAAAAAACCCTGTAATGGAGCGGAGTCAATTTGAGTTGGTGGTGGGCTAATCTCTGCGGATCCGTTCCACATATACACACTGCTCCAGACCAGATTTTATACTTTGTGATGCTTGATGAAATGTAAAAGTTGCTGGTTTCCTTTAGAACTTTTTTTTTGACAAAAAAATAAACAAACTAAAAGGCCAAATGTACTCTTAAATTACTCGATATCAATAACTTGTTTATTGAACTGCTGCACAAAACCTGCACTCATAATTGTGCTGTAGTACTGAATATAAAGAGCATCAGCTTCTCGCTCGTGTGATAGCATGACTGAATTAATCTCAGAGATGAACTCACCTTTGCCATTTTGCCAAGCCGTGTACCAGGACAGACTGAGAAACGACGTGAAGAAAATGATCGCAGTGGCAACAGTTCCATGTCTGAGCCTCATCTCATTTCAGCGCCTCCCCGTGCAGCTGCCTCTGGTCCTCCTGATCCAGGCGTGCATACGCGCTTCAGGGGAGCGGACAGGAGGTGACGGGGGCCCGGATCATCGACTGTCTGCACCGCGGTCCTCCTCCTGCTCCTCCTCTCGGTCGCTGCTGGGGTCACGAGGCAGCCCGGCGGAACTGATGCATTTCCAGAGAAAGATGTGCAATCCTCATGCCTGCCGTTACTGGAAGGGCTCATGAATACATTTTTTTTTTTTTTAAATACAGAAAGGCACAGAGATCGACATGAAAACATACGGTCTTGGTTTCTCTCTTTTTTTTCCGGACCGCACTGACTAACGTTACAAGTTAAACAGATAGCAGATTAAATATGTATGCAACCTTATTTGTAAGGAAATGAATCACTGAGAGACACAGAAATACTGCGGAGGATAACTAATTTAGGGGCAGGGGTGATTGGGTAAAATAAAACATTGAAAGGTCAAAAAACAGCCTGGGCTGTAAAATACACAGAGTTGACTACCTGTCGGAGAACCCCAAAATATGTCAGACAGGCATGAGCAACAACCCCAAGTTCAACATTTCTTACCTTTCGGCCTGTTATTGAACAGCGAACCGACGCGGCTCGATCTCATAAAAAATATCCAGTGAAAAAACGAGCAAAAACACGTTTTGTGATGATCATTAAAATAGCAATTTAGACGCACCGTCCTGCCAGAATCGTCAGCGGTGATGTGATCTCTCAATCAAGCTTTGTTGAAGACCACACCCACAGAAAGCAAGATCGTCCACTCGAGAACTATGATTGGCTGGAGTCATCAGACCCCGCCCGTCACTGACGTTGATTGGCTGGAGTCAGCGCACAGCTCCTGTCTGCCGCCACACGGCGGCCTGAGCCCATTGCACACCCCCTCAGCACTTTTAAAAGATAAAGATATTTCTTGCAACAATTCTGTTTAAATTATTGGGTGGATATAAATTCCGGCTGAAATACTATTGTCAGAGTATCAGTTCAATGTGCAAGTGTTCATTAACAAGCTTTCACTGCATGGAGACTGACATGTACTGTAGGCTACATATTTTTCTTTATAGGAAATACTATATTTGGAATAAGAAGGGTTTTGAACATGAATATGAAAATATTGTGAATGAAAGTATAGTTTGTGTATAGTGTGTACAGTTTGACTAACATATGTTGTATCAGTCAGTAGTCAGTCATCAAATTATTTTAAATTCACTTTATTTATTTATTGTAGAAATGTAAAAGAAAAAGGCTATTAGAACAATATAACAATATATTTAGTGTGAATGTACATTTCTCTTTTATGCATAATTATGCATAATACAAATATATCCTATCACATATATCAGTAAAATGATTTTTTTTCCTATAACATCAATGTCTTCTTTTTCCCCAGTACAGTTAATGTGAAAGCTTTCCATTTTCCTGAGAGTACTTCTACTACTCATATAATTATACTAATTTGGGGGGGCAATTATTGCCATAATTAGATGTATTTAGATGTGCACGTATGCCATTCATGCTGTCTGAATGCAGGCGCCAGAGGGAGTGCACATTTAATGAATAATTGATTGGCTTTTCTGACCTTCACTGTCACTGATAGCTTGTGGGACTGAACCATTATTGTATGCAAGCATCTGTCATATCTTTTCTTTGAATTTCCCCAAATCCTGTTATTTTAATGTAGTGCCATTAAAGTGGTATTACTGCGACCCGTACAAATTGCTTTTGTCTTTCCTGGTTTTTGCCTCTCATTATTATGTCTAATCTTCATTTGTTATAATCATCTGGATTTGAAGTCCTCTCCATAAACTGAGCTCTTTCCCCCGATCTATTTTTATGTATATGCTCGACTCTTGTATTTCAACACTGTCTCATTTCAGTCATACAGTCAAGCAGTGCTACTTTGAGATGCCTATGTGATTATTTTTACTCAGTTGACTGACATTGAAAGCTTCCTTTTGCCTGTTGTACATCGCACAGAAAAGTCTGGTTTACAAGAACACGTATGGCTGAAGATAAAGCTGAAATCATTCAAATGGAGATGATTAATTATAACCTGCACAGACCATTTTTAATTTTACTTAAGCCAGATATTGCGTTACATAAGACACTTTTGCTGAAGTCTCTTGACAGTACTATTTTAAGCTTAATTCTGTATTACATAATCATATTACTCCAATCAGTCCTTTTTGTAATCTATGTTATTTGTTCTTCATTTACATTAAAAGACTAAAACGCCAACCACAAAACAGCAATGACTACTCTTTCCACACAATATGTATTTTTAACATATTTCTTATTTTATTTGTACAGCACATGAATATCATTGTGAAGAGGTAATGCAAGGCACAAACAGATATTTGAGATTTTCATTAAGGTGTCAATTACATTGTAGTTGTGTTAGGTAGTGTAACATACGAGGTCATGTACTGTACCAAGTCACTGTCCTTGAGAAGTAAATGCAGACCTGAAACTGAACTTGAAAAGCATTAGATGCCATACATACACAATGAAAAACTCTCTCTTTTGCACACACACACACACACATAACTTGTATTCCACATTTTGGCTGTTAGTGAAATGTCAGACATACAAGGATATACAGTAAAGTGGGTTTCAGAGAAAACAGGCAAAAACTCTACTTAGTATATACCTTTACAAAATCTATTTAGTATATACCTTTTCTTAGTGTACTAAGGTATTTAGTAGAGAAAAGACTTTTCTTCGTAAAGGCCTATGCTAGATTTATTTAGTTTGAGTGATTTGTTTATTTATAATGAATGAATAGCTTTCCTTTCAATACAGTGTCTACATAGTCTATTTGTGATAAAGGTCTTCAACCTTAAGTAACTGTGAAATTGTTCTATAGATAATGTTAGGCTTCCTTGAACATAATTTATACATTCAATAAATCCGCAGGAATATGTTCAGAGGCACTGAACAGGCATCATGGCCAGGGCAAAAACCACCACTAGTTGAAAGTAACAAAAACATAACCACCTTCTGTACAATCAGTTCAATTCTGCTTGTACCATTTTCATTATAGAATGTTGCTCTTTTTCTCAGAAAGGTGTTGCTTTGAAATACTCCTCAAGCGGAATGACAGAGACTCCTCCAACCCAGTCCTGCAGCCAAACCTGCTGCAAAACCAGCTTCATGAAAAACCAATTATGTCCAGGGGGCCACTTCTTCATGACAGGATGCCTAAACAAAGCACACACCAAAATTAACACATTATTTGCAAAACACACTGCTTACCCAATTCTCTCAGTAAAAGGGTATAAAACTATCACTGGGGCACTACTAATATGAACCTTTAAAGTACTAATTTGTACCTTTATGGTACTAATATGGGGTAAATATGGTACAAGGATGTACCTTTTAGTTTTGGCACCAGAGACAGCTTTGCACCATTTAAAAAAAACATTTTTTTTTGAGAGGTGAAATAAAAAATAATTAATTTATTCTAATGCAGCTGCAAGGTGAATCAGACTAGACTGTTTGTCTATTAGCAATGCATTTCAGCTATAAAATAAGTAGGTGCACATTTCAGTTACATCAGATACAAAAAACAGCTATATTATGTAGTATATCAATGAGAACAGCATAGAAAATAATCAAGATATTAAGCAAAAATAGGCAAACATCACTAATTATACTTTTCCAACAGACATAAATGAACACAGACCTTATGTTCAACCTTAAACGTATGAAGTATGTTAAGCTGAGGTCACTGAAATGAAAATGAAAATGTGTGTATGATTTATAATTTTGCATAATCACCTGGAGAACATAGCCTCTTTGGCGAAGTCAAGCTCCTCTGGTCCCACCTCCACCATTTTACCAGTTAAAGTGAGTCTAGCACACCTGGGGTCCTCAGGGTCATAAACCTGCTTCCTGTCACAGGAAAGCACAGCCAGAGGATAAAATGCTTTAGATGATCATTATACAATGATCTCTGTCAAAGATACTTTTTGTTTTGATATGTAAACGTGATTTAAATGTAAAGGCTTCTCACTCCAGTTATTTCAGAGTTTTGAAGTAAGTGAACACACCTGCAGAAATCTCCCTCTGCCTCGGAAAATGTTAAGGAGGCAAAAGGGAAGCTGCGAAGATCTGTTACGGTGTTGTCCATCGGTGTCACATAAAAATAAGGAATGCCAGTGCTGTTGTCAGCTGGACCGTCGCTTACAGAGAAAATGTTTCCGAATGGAAGTCCTTTAATCTAAAGAGGTAATGGGGAAAGAAAACAGCCTAAATTAAAGACATATCATATGTGCCTTTAAAAAAAAACGTTTATTTAGATTAGATTAGATTAGATTAGATTAGATTAGATTAGCAATAATGACTGGCTGAATGTCATTAAGATTTAAGACTTTAAAACACTTATTAATACAGTGGTTCTTAACCTTTTGTCCACACCAATATTCCCATGACTTCTTCCAGTCGTATGTGAACTACTGGATAAGGATTTTTTCAAAGCATTTTTATTCACAATATCTACCTGATAAAGTATTTCAGAGTTTGCCGTAACTATAAAAAAATGTGCATTCATTATAAAAAAAAAAAGCCAATGGTTTTGAGATTTATTAATTTACATTACTTTTCCTAGTAATCACTATTAAAATTAGGCTACCTCATATATCCAGGTTTTCCAAGACAGCAAGAACCTGGGGCCAGTTACATAAACATACCACTATGTTAAGAACTAGTTTGACTAACTAGCAGTTAACCAAGTGGTAATCAGTCTTACTTTTCGAATTCAATTTAGACCAATATAACTTTCTACATAACTGACTTTAAAAAGTTACAACTAGTCTTGCAGATCAAAATGAGATGACAAACTTTTGTCTAAGCAGTTTATGCAGCCAGCCACTGGATCTTCAAAGACAAATAGCAGTTGTTAAAAAGGCCAATTAAAATAAATATATTGACTGATTTTTAATGCTTTTTTGTCTTATTTTAAATCATTTAAGTAATCTTGAGGTTCTTTAAAGTTTGCTGAGGCCCCCTAGTGGGCCCCTTGTTGAGAACCACTGACTTAACCGTTTATTTTATAGATAACTGAAAAGAATAGATCAAAGCTGCCAGTGAACTTTGCAGGAAGGTAGATTAAATCCAACCTAGTAAATAAAGCATCACCTGCTCCTGTGTGGAGATGGTAGCCAGGTGACCCCAGTCGCTATAATGCGCCATGTATCGCGCTACTCTCGCCGCCTCCTCATGCGGTGGAGGTGTAGGGATGCTGGACGGCACCTTCACCTCCTCCATCCGGTACGAAAACACACGGGACGCGGATGACACATCCTCGCTTTTCGATATCTGGTCGGGTTTCTTCTCTGAAGCGTCCCGGTACACGGAGGACGGATAGGCTTGTTTCCAGATGCCGATATTATCGACGAGCACAGCGGGCGCCTCGTCCGAGAGCGTGTCCAGCTCTTCCTCCTCCACCACATCACTGGTGACAGCCCACGAGACCGAGCTCCTGATGGTGTAACTCTCACCGACACACAGCAGTGTGGCTACTGCAGGGACGAGATGAAGCAGCAGCCGCATAGCGTTCAGATTCACAGGGGCTGCGTCTCTTTAAACTGCATGTTTATTTCGCAACTATGGATATGGCGTTACATGACAGTGACCAGAAACTTTGATGCGTCTGAAACAGCGACACCACCTGGACCGCCTGAAAACCGCAGCAGGTTGACCTCCATCTCTACTGTTACTTGGGGCTGT